TGCCAGAGCGCATCCGCCGGCGCGGTGGCGCCTGCCGGTAGGCCCAGCTACGCAGGAGACCGACTCAGGAGGTCGAGGCCGTGGCGAGCCCGACCATGCCCTCCTGCCTGGTGCCACAGTGAGACGCAACTCAAAAAAGTGTGTGTGTGTTCGCGTGAAAACGTGCGCTCTAGCATTACACTAGTAAACACCTAAAAGAGAAACACCACCAGCATATGGAGTTGGAATGCTCCGCAGCCCTGACATCACAAGGAGCTTCAAATTACACCAAAAATGCTATTTAATGACAGTTAATAAAAGTGTTCAAAGAGGTATATACAGTCAGAACGCACATATGTTAGAAACATACATGCACAGCATTACAATGATTGCAGGAAAGACAGAAAATTTTAATAATTTTCTGAATGGTGGAATTTGTAATGGTTTTTGTTTCGTTATGCTTTTCTAGATTTTTCTAAGTTTTCAGCAATAAAAATGGAAAAATAAAATAACAAAAATAATACCAATCGTTTAAAAGACTGAAAACACTTAAAGGGAGGCACAGAAAATGGTTCACCAATGGCTACCCCTGGGGTCAGCATAGAGTGAGCCTTCCTTTACAGCTTGTACCCTCTGGTGCTTCTTGAGTTTTATACCAGGCAGGTGTTGCTTATTCAAAATAAAACAATTTTTACAAAAAAGATACCAAAGAAACACTGCTAAAACCGCAGGGCTGAGGGGGAGCCTGAGGAGAAGAAACCCTGCGGGCATCAAGGAGAATGCTTCCAGCTCCTGGGAGAGACAGGACGTGAGCTTCTGACTGCCCCCTTGACCAAGGCCTCCAGGACCTCGCCAGTCCAGGGTGTCTTCCCCTGGCAAGCCGTTTGATCAGGCACAATCTCCTCCTGGGGTTTTCCCCTGGGGTTGAGCTGGCAGGCTGGAGGAGGGGCTTCAGTGACCAATGGACCTCTGAGCTGGGACCACCTGTGTCCCCTGGGCCTGAAACAGGTTGGGACCTGACGCATGAGCACAAATGGGTGGGCCCCAACCTCCTGATAAAGGGAACTCTGGCTCAGCCCTGGTTTTTCCCGAAGGATAGTGGTAAGCAATCACAGAATTTGGCATGTTGTTCAAAATGGAAAAAGTCCCGCCCAACTCTGAAGCACTGGATGAACAATCTTTTCTGGTTTCATTCTCATGCTACGTTCAAATCAGTGTTTTTCCCTTTACACTAAAAAGATGGCACCTTGAAAGTCATACAGAATGGAGGCATGTCCTGACTGTAGATTTTTAGTTCGAGAGACCGTATGAAGGACTTATTTGGCAGCAAGAATGGAAACGATCAGTTCAGCCAGAAAGGCCACACAGCTCTCCAGGCAGACAACCCTGCTCCCACCCCTGCCCTGCCCCCTGTCGACTCAGTGACACGCAAGGGATTCAAGTGACTTCATTAGCTCCAGGAGCGTGGCCTGTGTGGGGCACCTGATTTGTGCCAGATGAGGCCCGCCGAAGAGCAATTTCTCTGAGAGGACGGCCCCATCCTTCCTTCGTCACGGTGGGCTATAATTCACTCTGAGGTTTTCTTTACATACACGGAGGGCCGGGACCCTGAGTGTTCCTCTAAGCTGGCGCTCAGCAGAAGCACCTCCCGCTGGGCCTTCAGGGACCAGTTCGTGGCGAGCCCCCAGGCCCCACCCTGCCTGGGGCCTGGGGACCAAGGAGTGACACCCTGTAGTTGCTGGACGGCACAGCGACACCACCCTCAGCCTAGGAAGGCAGGCCTCGGGCATTAGGACTGGGGGTGTGCTCGCTCAGGCTTCAAAGCCACAAATCTGGGACCTTCTCTTTCATTCCATTTGTGAGAATGTTAGAGATTTCGACACAAAATACGTAAGAAAATGACCGCTCAAAAAAAGTTTATTGTGATTTGACGACACTCACGTTTCAGTTCCAAAAACAAAGAGAATACAGTACAGCTGTCCCTCCGTATCCAGGGGGGATTGGCTCCAGGACCTCCCTCAGATACCAAAATCAGAGGACACTCAAGTTCCAGAGATCAAATGGTGTTGTATGCTTTAAATCATCTCCAGATTATGGATAATACCTAATACAATGTAAATAGTTATTATACTATCTATTTTAGGAATAATGACAAGGAAAAAATCAGTACAGACATGATTTTTTTAAAGAAATATCCAAGGTTGGTTGAATCCACAGATTTGGAACCCATGGATACAGAGGGCTGACTCTGTGAGGGGAATCTTTAGGGTGGAAACATTTCTTAGAGATGGTTTATGACCACACCACTCCAGAAAGAGCAATTAGACACACCTCATTTTACTGTACTTCACAGATAATTGCGTTTTTAAAAATAAGCTGAAGGTTTATAGCAAGCCTGTGTTAGGAAAATCTATTTTAGTGCCATTTTTACAACACCATGTGCACACTTTGTGTCTCTGTGTCAACATTTCTTAGCAATAAAGTTTTTTTGAAATTAAGGTATATTCATTTTTTAGACATAATGCTATTGCACATTTGATAGACTCTTAATGTAGTATAAACATAATTGTATATGCACTGGGAAACCAGAAATAACTGTGTGACTCACTTTGTTGTGACATCTGCTTAACTGTGGTGTCTGACATTGAACCTGCACTATCTCTGAGGTATGCCTGGACTTTACCCTGAAAGTATTTCCGATGAGGCAAGCAAGGCCCGGCGGGCGAGGGTGGCGGGGAGGTGGGCGTGCAGCCAGGGAAGACGGGGCCAAGTGCACTTGGGTCTGCAGCTTCGCTCCATGAGCCACCGTCTCCTTCAGGCAGCTACTCAGAAGTCACTGGGGAGGGAGGGGGTGTACCCAGAAGGTACACGTGATTCCAGCATGGGCCACTCTGAGGCCCTGAGACCACAGGGCCGGAGGGGAATCCAGTCCTGCAACAGGTGCTTGGAAGAGGCGTCATCTTTCCAAGATGAGGCCCTGCTGGAGGGAGAATCCGGCGTAGCCACAGAGCCAGCCGAACCTGGCAACCTCCTCCAGACCCACGCGAGGAGAGGACTCAGAAGACTGCCACCAAACCCCACAGCAGACAGGCCTTGGCTTCTCACCAGTGTGCTGGTCAGAGGGCTGTCATCAGCGTACACAGCCAGAAAAACAGATTCTTCACCAATAACTTCTGGCACAAGACACGCACAGCAGTAGCCTCTTCAGCTTAAGGGAAGACGCTGACGACGTGGAGCCTTCTCACAGAGACCTGCTGGCTTTCTCCCAATTCCCCAGTTAAGAGTCACAGGGTCATCTAGAAGAAACCCCGCCTCCCAGAGGAGCGGCCTAGTCCTAGTCCTCGTACTGAATCTCGGCCCGCAGCTCCTTGGTGAGGTAGTTCGTCAGCATCGCCAGCAGCTGCTGCTGCAAGGCCTCGCTGCCCATGACCAGTGCCGTCAGCTGCACAGCATCCGTCCACTCCAGGTTTCTGATGATGGCCGTGGCTTCGTTAAAGAGCTTCTGCTGCTCGGCAGGGGGCAGCTCCATTACGATCTGAGGAACGGGCTTAAACTGCCCACTCGTCATCCAGGCACCTAACAGGCCCCCGACAGCCCCCCCTGGAAAACAAGGAGAGGCCAATTAGTGGGGATGTGTTCCGAAACGATGGCCTGCCTTGAGTTCTCACTGTGAGCACATCCCCTGTCGTGATGAGTAGGCACATTCACGAGCGCGTGGCCGCGGACCAGGCTTCCGCCTGCTCCGTCGGGCAGCATGGAGGGCAAAGGTTCATGTGGCCTTCGGTCGATTTGGCTCAGATAACTGACACCCAAACATGCCCTTCCCCACGCTCCACACTTAGGGATGCAGAAGGAAGCACACATCATCGCCCACTCAGATCTCAGGGGCGCTAACATCGCCTTCAGGGGCTGACAAGGCTCCCACACCTCCCACAAGCATCCCTCTTCATCCCACAGGAGAAGGCTGAGAAGCAAATGCATCTTCGGGAAAAGCCATCTCAGTGAGCCCACACTTCCTCCAGGGGGCACCTCGCCCCTGAACTTAGGAGATGTCCCGTGAGCTCACAGAGTTCAAGGACCCAGGGCGTCTCCTTAAGATTCTTTTCTCTTGAAGCAACATTTTTCACGTAATCCTCCAAGTTGTACAACGACAGACAGCAAATTGAATGTAGTTTACGATTTCTCTTTCTGCTATTCAAAAAAGGGCACAACCCTGATTTTACAACGTAAATGTATTGCCAAAGTTAGGTCCTGCTATGCTGGACTCAAAAACCTCGTATCAACGGAAAGTTCTACCTCAAGAGGCCACTACAGGATGGTGTAGGGTTAGAGAGGTGCCCGAAAGCAGGGGTATCGAACTCGGTGCCTTCAAGAGCCAGGGAGCCAGGCAGGCGACGCAAAGGATGAAGGGGGTGGAGCAGGTCTTACCTGGCCCCTCCGCAACTCAGGTCTGGATGGCAGCCAGCTCCAACAGGCCATGCTAGCCTGGGGTTTGGGCTGCAGCACCGAGCTAGATCGATCTCCTGTGGCCTGGGACTCAGAAGACCTGGAGAGCTGAGTCCCTGTCTAAGGGACAGCTGCTACCCCACAGAGAATACCAGATTCGCATCTTTAAAGCATCTCACAATTTTTAAATATTGCCCATCAGACATTTAAAGATGAAGCCTGCTAGAATTGATGACTCCCTTCCCACAAGCAGAGTAAGGAAAGGGAAACAGGAACACGACAGCAGACAATCCCCGCAAACAGGACCTCAGCCAAGTGACCAAGGTCCACGTCACCAATGATGTCATGTCAATGTCATCTACCCCTGAAACAATGCGGGGGCACTTTACCTCCAGGAACCACATTCGACAAATTCAAATGGTGAGATGATCTACAAAATACCTGCCCAGTGTTCCTCAAGCCATCAAGGTCATAAACAAGGAGAGCCTGAGAAGGTGTCACAGGCTTCCTAAGGAAACAAGCTGGTTAAATGCAACATGGTATCTTAGACTGGATCCTGAAACCCCAAAAAAGGCCATGAATGAAAGACTGGTGAAGCTGGGCTCGGTGGCTCAGCCTGTAATCCTGCGCCTTTGGGAGGCTGAGGCAAGTGGATTGCCTGAGCCCGTGGGTTCGAGACCCACCTGGGCAACTTGGTGAGACCTCATCTCTACAATAAATCCAAAAATCAGCCGGGCGTGGTAGCACATGCCTGTAATTCCAGCTACTTGGAAGGCTGAGGCAGAAGGATCACTGGAGCCCGGAAGGCAAGGCTGCGGTGGCTGGGAGCGGCCACTGCATTCCAGTCTGGGCGACCGAGTGAGACTCCAACTCAAAAAAGAAAAAAGAAAGACTGGTGAAAACCAAACCAAGTCTGGAAAATGGCCAGTAGGAATGTATTAGTGTTGGTTTCTTAGTTTTGACAAATGTTGGGTAGTGCTTGTTCACATTAGAGGAACTGAAACTGGGCAAAGGATAAATGGAAGCTCTGTACTAGCTTGGCAACATCCCTGTAACCTAGCATCATTTCAAAATGAAAAGCTTATTTTTTAAAAATGCAGCCCAAGCTGGGTACGGTGGCTCACGCCTGTAATCCCACACTTTGGGAGGTGGAGGCAAGAGCCCACAGATTTGAGACCAGCCTGGGCAACTTGGCAAGACCTTGTCTCGATGATAAAAATAAAAATTAAAAAAACTGCCAGGCGTGGTGATGCACACCTATGATTCCAGCTACTTGGAAGGCTGAAGTGGAAGGATCGCCAGAGCCCAGTAGGTCAAGGCTGCGGCAGCCATGAACGCGCCCCTGCACTGCAGCCTGGGTGACAGGGTGAAGGGGCAAGGAAAACAGAGGAGAAGCTGACAAGAGGTGTGCTGTATGCATGAGAGGAGGAGGACCCTGGGCACGTCCTTGGCTCAGGTGGCTTGGCTACCCAGCCGGGACAAAGACAGTAAACCAAATGTTCTGTAAACCAGGTGTTTTTCGGTGGAGCATTGGGTTTATCAGGAAAGTGGACTCGGACCCTAGCCAAGTGTGAGTTCATGAGTACTGAGTTAATTGACGCCCGCTCTGTTAGCAAGGGGGGCTCCTCTTTGTCTGAATACAGCATGGGAAAGAGCAGCAAGGGAGAGCCTGAGATTGAGGTTCTCCATCGGGTGACGTTCCCTCCGGGGCTGTCCCCGTCTGGGTGATGAGGATTTCCCCGAGGTAGGATCGCAGGACAGTGGTAAAGTGTTTTCCCCTCTTTTTTTCTTTTTTCTCCTTAATAATATATATTTCTATATCTAAAGAAAGCTGTTTAATTTTCTTTTGCTGGTGTGTGGTGGTGTTCTTTGCGGATCGGGCCCAATTAATATTAGACCGTGGACGGCAATACAGGAAGATTCCTTGCTGTCACACAGAGTGAGACACCGACTCAAAAAAAAAAAAAAAAAAAATGCAGCCCAGGCCAGAGAAAACCCACTTTGTAGACTGGACTCATGACAGGCAGCAAAACCAGTGCTTCCTCAGGAAGCCAAGCAGAGAGGCACCTGGAGCAGACATCCTGTAGGACCAGGGCCAGCCTCATGCCCTGGAGGCCGAATGCTGCCCCTGGACAGAAAAGCAGCATTCTGGGGAGGGAAGCCAGCCGATTCTCAGGTTTTCCTGAACTTTTCCCCATGACACCAGTGAAACACTTAAGTCGACAAGAGTTGCACTCATCTGCACTAAACCTTTATGAGAACATCAATATTTGATTTAGAGCACCACTTAATGCAAAAAGTCACCGGGAATATCGACCAGCAAATTACTGGCTCTTCAGAGAAAAGAAAATTCCTTTGTTTTCTGGGTAAAACGATGCTCCCACCCATGACCAGGGGCTGGAAGTAGTGAATCCCCCTGAGTTCTCTTTGCAGACATCCTGTTCTTCACCAGCTTTTACTCAACCTGAAGAAAATATGTGCTCCCAAAATGGCATCTGGGCACAATTCTATGATACAATGATCCCAGTAAGCCCTCCCCTGGCACTGAGATGGGGGTGGGGACAAAGACACAGAATGTCATTGAGAAGAAGGAAATGGCCTTGTCTCTCTTTCTGGTTCCTTCCTGGATGGCAAGAAACTCAAGCCAGGACTCACTAATTCATGGAATTTGGATAGGAAAATACAGAGCAGGAAGGTCTGGGACCGCCAACGGGCGTCTTTTCCTCCCCAGTGTAGCCTCAGCTTACTGAAATGTCCTTGAATGCCAATCCCACTACTGAAAGGAAGAACAGAGCAGGAAGCTTTGCCAGTCAGCTGGGAAGCCAAAGCCAACTTCAGCAGAAAGGTCGTTTTCTCTCCAGCCTGCTGTGTGAAGGCTGAAAGCTGTGCAGGAAGGATTTCCACTGGACAGTGACCTCTCCAAAGCCCCTGTAACCTGGTGCAGGCTGCCCAGCACAGAGGAGGCACTCACTGAATACTCACTGGGCCCAAGATACCGGATGCCAAGTCACAAGAATGCCAATCAAACTGTGTCACTGGACCCACCTGAGGCCACCTCCAGGGAGGTCTTACCTATCCCCACCTCAACTCAGGTCTGACTCACTCTATCCTGGCCTATGGTTTGGACCACAGCTCTGAGCCTGGGAGATCTTCTAAAACCTAGGACACAGAAATTCTTCCTGCCCCTAATCCAAAGGAATTAACTTCATCCTAACTCCAAGGGACGAGGGGAAAATTAGCTAAATGTTCATCTGCTGCCAGAAACTAGCTCCCATGCAGAAGCAGGTAGTAAAGTGGGGGCTAGGGTGGGCCCTCGAGGAGTAAAAGACAGTTCTCTCCTCCTCGCTGTCTGCTTTTTCTGCACTGGAATTTTTGCCCTCAGAATGGGAGCACTCACTCTGAATGAGAAGTCTTGGGAGAAATGGTCGTGCAGCCCCTGCTCACAGGAGGTGCTCGGCAAATCCCAGCTTCCTCCCTGGCTCCCTTCTGGAGTGACATGGTGACCATGGGGGGCAGGTGAGAGAGGCCATCCCAGGGGCCCAGGACACTGATGCCTTCAGGATAGATCACACCTCTGGGGGCAGGACAGGGCAGTCACCCTGAGTATTCCCTTGGAATCCCTGCACGAAGGGAAGACGCCGTCGGGGTGAGCGACACACCTGCCGTTCTCAAGCATGTCTGCGCCGCTAAGACACTCCCACGGAAGTTGGCTTGTGTCTTCAACAGGACCGACGACACACACAAAGCTCACCTCGCAGAAGCAGCCTTCACGCCAAGCTTCTCACACAGCGCCTGTGGCCCAGGCCCTTTGACGACAGCCGGAAAGGCCAGCTGTCCCTGCGAGACACCTGCACTCACCCACAGCTAGTCCCGGAGGGCCGCCCGTCAGGCCGCCAATGAAAGCCACGGCCCCTGTGACCAGGGCGCCCCTCCCAGCGTGCTTGACAGCTGCCTTCATCCTCCTGCTCCCGGAGATGGAGCACAGCAGCTTCAGGACGTCCTCCACCACGACAGGCATCTTGGCAGGCCCTTCAGGAAAACGTTAAAGGCGGGTGTTAGCAGATGCGACAGGATTTCCATCCAAGTGTCACTCTCCCTAGAGGCTGGGGGAAGGGTCCCCATTTTTGGAGGGAGCAGTAGCTCCGGTGTGGACGGCACAGCATCCAGAGAGGGACAAGTCCTTTGTGACCCACAAGGCAGGCAGCAGTTAGCGACAAGCAAACAGAAGCAGCCGAGGAGACGGCAGGTCTTCTTTGCTGTCTGATTAACTTCTGATCCGTGGCAGATTAAGAAGCAGTCCCAGCCACAGGTTCTGCCCGTTCATCACAAGGGAGGCAAGTCTGACCTCTCTGGCATCAGAGGCCTTTCAGCTGGCTCAGGCAATCCTCTGCACACAAAATCTGGCAGAGACCAGGAAGTCCCGCCCCGGGCTCTGTTTTGTGTGACCGGGCATCCGAGCCATTGTCAAGCCAGGAAGGGGAAAGGACGGGACTCTGTGACCACACTGGCACAGCCCGCGGCGTGACCCAGAGCAAGTGTCAGAGACCTCACCTCTCAGATGGGCTTGTCTAAGACCCTTCAGGCTAGACTCTGCAAGGAATGGGCAAAAAGTGCTCAGCTCGAGTTTGAATACGGTAGTCTGGGACACTACAGGCTCAAAATGAACATTCTGTTACTAATACAGCACGCACTTCCTGAAGCAAGTCCTCCCAAAAGTCAGCACAGTTCCACACAGGACAGTAGCACCAGGCACAAGACGAGGCAGTGAGATGAAGCGACAGAACATACAAGAAGCCAAGGAATTCCGGGGTCTGCCGGAGTTACGGACAGACGGACAGATGGACCTTTAGAGCAACCCTCAGCGGTCAGGAACTGCTTGCCAGACTGGTGGGGAGGCGGAAAGCAGGGCTGGGGCAGGCTCCGGAAAGCCCGACCCTGAGGAGCACCTGGCAGGACCGAGAAGGAAAACCCAGAGGCCAGCAAGCTGGTGCTTCTCCTCGGAGCTTCGGAAGGACCAGGCTCCACCAGCGCCCTCCCTTCTCTCCAACACATCCGGGGATCCAGGCTCAAGCACTGAAACGGCTGCTAAATCAACTTGCCTGAGGAGGTTGGGACCAGACTGTATTACTCCCTATCTTTTGGTTACATGGGCTTTTTTGACCCAAGAGTAACCCAAAACCAGAAGTCTCTGATGTCAAACTGGTCTCCCAATCCTGGTGGAAAAGTTTTGAGCCCTTCACAAATCCATCCCCTACGCTACTACCACAAAGTCAGGTTTTCGGAACTCTTCTGCAGTCCCAGGAGAGGTAGGAAGTATCTGTGCTGCCCTGTAAATGCCTTCTTTCTTCCTTCTGACAGACTTTAGACCTGTGACTCTCCACGGGCACAAGGAATCAGAGGACCTTGCTAGATACTGTTGGTATGGCCAGGTGAGACTGCACTTCTCACCGGCCCCCAGGTGGTCTTCCAACCTCACTTTGGGCAGCAGGAGTCTAGGAGAGCATGCCCCAAGGCTTTGATGTCTGTGACTCAGTCCTCAAATTCAGAAATTACAGAGAGGAGCTCCCAGATGTGTCTTTTTGGCCCGTGGAAGGGCAGGCCTTGCGGGGCTCCTCAAGGGACTGAAGAACTCCGGCTTGCCTGGCCCTGTCCTGGCTGCCCTGGACCCGAGTCTGCTGAGACCCCCTGGCTTCCAGGCCCTGCCCCAATCACTCTGCTTTCAGACAGGCCAACGGTCTCCTCCTCCTCCCCAGAAAAGAGGCCCCTTCCACGTCTCCAGTGACCAAGAATCGTCCATCAACAAACATCATGACAATAAAATGGCATGGTCACAGCGACGGGAATGAACGTGGCAAAAGCCACCCCCAGAGATGGGGAGATGAAGGGTATAACCTGATGCATCAGTAGCCATGGTCCTGGAAAGACCACACAGACAGACTGAGCTGTGTTTCAAACACATGCTAATATAACCCAAGGAAGTAACTTCACTGTGAAATCTTTCAAAAAGCTCAAAACCCTACTGTAAAGTATCTAATCACCTTTTAGCTTAGCTCTGGCTTTCATCTGTCAATTACACTGAAAAAGGGGAGGCACAGCCCACGTTTCAGCAAGGCCCCTCTGGAGGCTGCGGAACCTCTCACTCCCAGGGGTGTGACGACCCTGAGCTCTGCTGCACTCAGTGACCAAGGCTGGCTTCCAGGCCAGTGACCAGACACCACTCCTGCAACAGGTCTTCTGCAGAATTATGGAGCTGCACTGTCAAAAGCAGTTTCTGCACAGCAAGAAGAGGCATGCAAAGAGGCAGGAAACAGATACACACCCACTTCACCTTGACTGTCATCCAAAAAGCCCAGCTTCCGACCCGCTCCGAATGGCTAGAGTCAAAGCCCACGGGAGCTAAAGAGGCGTCCTTGTGCAAATGCTGCTTCCAACCTCCGCGTGGCCCCACCAGGCCACGCAAGCCCATGGCTCTCCAGACCAGAGGGCCAGCAGGCATCACAGCATGTGGGAGGGCAGGGGAGGAAGTAGCCCGACTCCGGCTGGATTTTAGTAGCTCCAGGCCACAGGTAGAGGTGGCGTTCTGGCTGCCTCAATCCAAGGGAAAGCTGGTTTAATTTTCTTTGCAAGAATCACTTCAAAAGTTAGGCATCAATAGACTCTTTTGTGGAAGAAAGGCTAGTAACCCCATCTCCTGAGCCCTTGCTAAAAAGCTCAGCTTCCTGAATTCTCCAGGCTTGCCAGATTGAGAGGGACGCCCAACCCACTTCTCCTGCTCCTACCCAAAGGCTGCCTCTGTCTGCAAATGACAGGGGGGTGGGTGAGAAGGGAGGATGGGGACAGACCTCGAGGGGTGGGAGTGTGGCTCCCCCCCACATCACACCTATTTCAGACTCAGATTTGCCCACAAAATGCCCTGATCATGGGAAGCCCATCTGCCAGCCACAGGGAAGGCAAATGCCAACTTGAAGCCCTGGTGTCTTGCAGGCACCCAGACTTCACTGGGACGCACAGCGAGATGGAGATGAGCCCATCCCTCCGACTGCAGCCTGAGTTTCTGGGTTTGGGCCAGATTGTGAGAGACGGGGAGAGGAAGGCTTCGGAGTTAACACAGACCTCCACTTACTCTGTTCTTTTAAAAAAAAAAAAAATAGAAAATGGAGCCTCTTAAGGGTCAGCACGCTTTTTTTTTTTTTTTGAGTTGGAGTCTCACTCTGTCACCCAGCCTGGAGTGCAGTGGCCGCTCCTGGCCCCCGCAGCCTCAACCTGCTGGGCTCCAG